GAATCACTTTTCAACCTGTTTTTTTCTGAGTAGAACAAAAATTCATAACTGGAAGTTTTAGGATCTAGGATAGTGAAATTCATTGTTCTACCCTTGTGCCAAGCTAAGTGGTTCCAAGGTGAGCCTCCATCTAACTGATACTCAAGAAAGAACTAAAACACGATTGAATGCCAGTCTGGTATGTTCTACCTCCTTAGCAGAGTGGTTAGTCACGACTCTGAGATAAAAATAGGCCAGGGTTGTGGGTCAGTCAAAGCAATGAGGAGCTCTGGATGGTGAGTTCAGAAGAGTGATAGCTTCCAGAAAATTAGAACTATGGGTTCCTTGAAGTAAAGTTACTTTGTGAAAGAATCCAAATGTGTTTGAATTGCCCATATTTGGATCATAATCTGTGATGGCTCAAAGGCTTTGCCAGGTAGAATTTACTGATGCATTAAGGTTTGGTCCTCCCTGGCAAGTGAAGTGGAAATAAAAGAAAAAGAGTCAATTGCTTAGGTAAATCAGCTTAAAATATCAAGATAATGAAGACAACACTTGGGTTTTATTTAATTCCACCCATCTGGATACATGTGTCTAACTCAGATAGGGCCCTGAATCCCAGTGGAAATTACCATTCAAACACACAGGAATCAAACAAAATCCTACTACTCACACAGAAACCATAGGCTGGAACTGTATGACAATTTCCAACACCCATCCTTCCGTGACCTACCTAACAATGATGCCTTTGGTTACTCTCTTCAGTTGGGCCTATTAAATTCTTTTTTTTTTTTTAAAGATTTTATTTATTTATTTCACAGAGAGAGATCACAAGTAGGCAGAGAGGCAGGCAGAGAGAGAGAGAGAGAGAGAGAGGAGGAAGCAGGTTCTCCGCTGAGCAGAGAGCCCGATGCGGGACTCGATCCCAGGACCCTGAGATCATGACCTGAGCCGAAGGCAGAGGCTTAACCCACTAAGCCACCCAGGAACCCCTGGGCCTATTAAATTCTTAAAAAAATCTTGTCCTCACTCAACATCCATGCTTTAACATTTCTCTGAAATGATGAATAAAGCCCACATTCTCTCATCATAAAATACCTGTGCTTGGTGTTAATAATTATTTATGAAAAGTCAACCACATTTCTAAGAATGCAGTTAGAAAAAAGCACAAATCTGCCTTTATAGGGTCCAATCAACGCCAGAACTTTTTTGTACAAGCAAATGGAATATACAGATCGAATGTTTACTTGAGCACATTACTTGAAGTGTACATACTTTACCTAGATATTTTACTTCTGCACCTTGCTCTCTAGCTCTGGTTATTCAACCTCAAGTCAAAAGAAGTTCAGGGGTGCCTGGGTGGCTCAGCGGGTTAAGCCTCTGCCTTGGGCTCAAGTCATGATCTCAGGGTCCTGGCATGGAGCCCTGCATCCGGCTCTCTGCTCAGCGGGGACTCTGCTTCCCCCTCCCCCCTCTGCCTGCCTCTCTGCCTGCCTGTGATCTCTGCCTGTCAAATAAATAAATAAATAATCTTTTTTTTTTTTAAAGAAAAAAAAGAAAGTTCAAACAAACCTATGACTCTATGAAGTAGGGCTGTCTCACACCTGATATCTTTTTATATGCCATTTCCTTCTATTAAAATGTAATTCAGTCTCAGAAAAAACATTTTTTGTCCTCAAAGTACCTGAATGAGAATTGCCTTGAGGCTTACAGATGAACTTGACTTTGACCTTAAAAACTGGAGAATGAGTGACAGCCCCTCCAGTATTCTCTCATGATTACAAAGCCACAGCAAAAACCCTAAACACAAAGGAGATTATATCTTTCTCTCCTCTAAAGAGGCGAAATGCAAAAATACAAAGTATTTCCATCCAGCATAAATATGAGAGGGAAACAAAACAAAACAAAACAAAACAAGAAACTGAGAGACAACTGGTCACAGGTATATCTCTAAACTAAAACATAAACTACAAGGACAAGACACACACACACATATACACACACACCCCCCAACAAATCATTTATTCAGGAAAACATTAACTTCTGATTTCCTTTATTAAGATAGTAATATGAAGCTGGTTCTGGGACAAATTTTGAGCCCTCAGATTGGACTTCTCAGGAATGACTAAAATTGCTACCTAATGGTCATCCATGGGAATCTGTCATGATGGAGTGTAAGTAGATTAAAGAATCATTACCTTGTCTTCCAAAAGTTCCAAGCAGAACAAATTGTGCCTTTATAAATGTTCATTTTATATATCACCCAAATCAATTTCATATTGAATAGGGCCTGAAATTTAAGTGCTTACTAATTGAGTAGTTGTCCACTTGGTCTTGCAACACTCAGTGTGTACTGTCAAGTTTCACATTGCTAATTTTCCAACAGTTTTGTTTTCAAATGCCCCAAGGCCAGTGACTGAGTCCAAACACAAACTTTGTAAGTAAAGAAACCCCAGCAGCAAGAAATTTTAAACACCCAACATCATCAGGATTTCAGTGTATGTTGCATCTCTTCTAATTTTCGAGTTCTGTTCTCCTATATACTTACCAGTTTTGTTTTGTATTTTTTCATTTTGATGAATCTCAGTTTGCACAAGAATACCCAATTTATTAATCATAGGAGACTTCCCACATCTACTCTGGTCACTCTAGCAGGGTATGATTATCTTACATGTTATGAACAATAGAACTTTTTCTGAAAAAATATTGCTTCTCAAAATCCTAACAAACACATTTTGTCAGAGTACAATATGTGTTTGATAAACAAATTTATGTTTGATAACCATGTTTACACAGGGTAGTAGCAAACTCAATAAACACCAATTTGAAAGTGAAAATACCTTAAGTTTACACATGCCATGAACAATTCATCAATGTCATTCATTCTTTTACAAAGTATTATCTTCTCCAAATGAAGCGTAATTCATAAAACTGGAGAAATAGAACAGTGTTATGGGCAAATATATTTGCTCATTTTTATTGGAAGGGACTTTTAGAACAGAAGCGTGTGAAATAATTTTGTCTGGATGAATGGAAGATATCAGGGAAAGATTACTATGGGAAAAAGAAAATCTATTTCTGTTTTGGAAATTGTAATAATGTATACATACACATGAAGAATTACTAGAAAGATGAGCAGCCTCATAGAATCCTCTGTAAAGGCCTATTACTAAAACAACTAAAAATAAATCAAACCTTACTTGGGAGGAGGCCAACTTTTTTGTTGTTTTGCTTTAGGTAGTAAATTAGACACAAGTCTCAGCTTCCCTTGTGTCAATAAAGATTTTGTTAGTCAGTGGTAAACTTTTCAAAATGAAGAGAAGATAATGGAAGCATCTCTTTAATCATTCAAAAAAAATGTAATATACTGAAATGTGAAAGATGAGATTCATTTTCCTTTTTTTTTTGCCTAAAATTTTAAATCAGTTTTTTATGACAAGATATGCAGATTTCTTCCTGGGAGATGCTGTAATGATGCATTTTTCAGAGCAATTACATCAGAGTTTCAATGTTAGCTACCTACTAAGATATTCTTTTGCCATTTCATTAGAGTAAAATTAAGTTAGGCAAATCCCACACTTATGCAACATTTAAAAACTAATTGTTAAATTAGCCCCTTTCGGTTAATCTCATAAACCAGGTAAAAATGTAACAAATAGGAAATACTCATACTAAAAATATGAGACTATATACTGTCAGTTCTAAATGACAAGGTAAATTAGAGCTACTTCAAAGTTTATGGATTAAATGTGGGTCACAATTAAATCTTCACTCTGTGAAGCAGTTATAATTAAATACAGTAGGAATCTGCTCCTTCCCTTCAGCTCTGTTCAAGATTATTAAAATAAAACAGACAAGAATTCATAGTTACTCCCTAAACAACTTTATACGTATCACTGGTTGCTATAGCAGTTTACAACACTGAAAACTATCACATCTAACATGCTTAGTGCCCACAGTCACAGAGAAAACCACACCAAACATTAGTCCCCAAAGATGATCTTATGGCCCTTTTTAACAAATACTGTACATGATGTACTCAAATCCACTAAAAAGGGGTATAGAAAAATGTACTTCTGAATTTTGAGCCTTTGTTTTCAACTAATATACAACCCTACAAATAAAATACAGACACTTTTTCTGATTCCTTTATAAAGCTAAAAAAAAAAAGAGTTTTATATTCACCTCCGCTTCTTTGTACATGCATTGACCCTGAGATATTTCCTCTTTGCTAGCTCAAATACAACCAACATGAAGTTACGTGAAACTGCAATCTACAATTTATAAATAAAAACACTGGAACTTATTTATACTTGACTGGGATCTAGTCTGCCCCAAAATACACAATAATGAATCAAATACTTGTTTAAAAAAACTCATTGTCCCATTTAGAGCACTGCTGTACCACCTGATGGATGGAGGCATTTTGAGAGATTATGATATACTACATTGCAAGTTTATTGTAAACAGACAGCATACTTTATCACCACATTTAAATCTGTAAAATTCATGAAGATTTTTTTCCAGTATCCCATAATTGGATTTACTTCTAATTATCATTTGGCAAAATACTTAACCTTATAGAAGGATTTGGTTTTGCAGTAATCATGTAAATAAGCAGAAAGTAAATCAATCTTTATTATTTTTGAAGGAAATTGCAAACAACACCATCAAGCAAATCCTACAGTTCTGACTTATTTTTAACTCTTTCACAACGGGAGCAGATCTTAATTGTGTCTTTCTCCACTCCCCCTCCTCACCCTCCCAGCCCCGGTTTTGAGTTTCAAATTATTTGGTGATTGTTTATTTAAGAACAACACTGGAAGCATCTTCATAAACTTTTTAGGTTAAGCAGTTATGCTTCAAAATCTGATTTTGCTTAGAAATAGTAACGGTAGGAAATGAGTCTTGAGTTACCCAGTTGGGACGAATCCTTAAGTCTGGATCTAGAATGGGGAAATTACAGGGAAGTTCCTGTGGTCATGGAGAAAGTTGGGGGGACTTAACTTGAGAAATCTCACCTTTTGAGCTGCTTTGGAGGGACTCTTGTTTTTGCTGCCTTTGGGTCTTCCCCTGGGTCTCTTAGGAGAGGGCTCACCGGTTGGCTCCTAAGTACAGGGGGGAAAAAATGCTGTTGTGGAAGAATGTCTGAAAGAAATTGACCCTGACTCTATAGTTAGTTTCTGTATGTGCTATTCAAAAAGACTGTTGCAACACATTCAGTAGGAACATAAATGGAATGATGATGGCACTGAGTTTACAGAAAGGGAAAATAACTATACTTTCAATCCAAGGGTTCAAAAAGGAAATTCTATTTTGCATATGAAACTTAGGTTCTGTTTCAGCACTAAAAAGGTAACAAAGGCTGACAAGGTTGCATGTTCTGGAAAGAAAGTCACACAAGTTTAAGGTGTAAAATTTGAATGGTTATGTATTTGGCAACTTATAAATACTTTACAGGAATGCTACTACCCATTGTACCAGCATTTCCAACAAAAGAAAGACAACGCTAACATCATAAATGTTTCAACAATCTTCCCTATAGAAAAGATGGTTTTTAGTCATCTCTGCATATCCGCATTGTAGGTCAGTTATGACTCAACACATTGAGAGAAGTACTGGAGCAATTACCCAAGATCTTCAACTCAAAATAACTCCGTTCCCCCTAAAATTTCCAAATAATTATGGTAAATCTGTTGTGGGAGGTTTTGCTTGAATTATCCAGATAATTGCTTCAGTTCTCCACTTCCTTTTGGAGTTGGAGGCATGGTCTTTAGCCTAAATTTAAATGTCTTTTGATAAAAATAAACATTTTCCTCCAAAACTTGCTTTTGAGAAAACTCTTAGGGAGGGAGGAGACCGGAGAGAACTAAAAGGGGGAAAAAATGAAGGAGAATGGAAGTGTCTGAGAAGGAGAAATTGAAACTATCAATAGGGTTAGCAAAATTTTAAAGGGTTCCTATGCCAAGTAGTAAATGCTCAAGTGGTTAAGAGAATGCGATGATTAATATTCCAGATCCTAAATATTTATGCAGTGAATCATCAATTTACAGTTCATTCAGATTCGGTGATTAAATGAGACCAATTAACTTAAAACGCATGAAAGTCTTCAATGAAAATCCGCATCCTATTTGGAGAATCTGGGGAAGGTTCCCTGCAAGCTTCTGTGGGACCACTAGAGCCAGTGGGCACATCCGGAGCAAACACACCGGAGACGCATTTTTCTTTCTTTGTGAACTCTGCCTTAACTCCAAGGTAAAACCTCCAATCACCTCCAGATCCCACCGCAATTTCTTTGGGATACTTTTTTGGAGGTGGGGGACAAATCGAGCTAGAAAGAGCTGGGTGGCGGGTGGGAAACAAGGGCGGGGGCGGGGGGAAGGGCAGAGACTTCCTGGGAGGTGTAAAACAGGATCCTAACGCGGTTTAAAGTGTCGCCTGGGCAGAGCGGGAAAACTCAGGGGCCTCTAGATTGGCTTGTTTCCTTTGATGATTTCAAAAAAGGTACAACCCTTTCAGTTTTTCTAAAACGCTCTGGCAAGCAAACATTGTTCGATTTCCCCCCACCTTGCTCTCGGGCAGCTTTTGGGACTCCAGGATTATTTTCTAATCGGCCTATTTGCGGTGAAGGCAGCGCTTTAAGGCTAAGGAACGCAGGAGAAGTTTTAAAGCCCGCGGAAGCGGTGTTTAAATGTTCTCAATAGACATGCCCCGCTCCAGCCCTGGCCGCCGAGGCTTGGAAATTGCAGCGAACAAAACCCCCCGCTCTGGGCGCTGCGCGCAGCTCTGCAAGTGGGCGCTCCGCGCAGCTCTGCAAGCGTCCGCTGCACGCTTAATTGGTTGCATCCGCAGACAAAACCCTCCACTCCGCGGGGTCCCGGGCGCCCCTCGATCGTCCCCTCCCAACCCCCAGCCGCTCGCCCAGAAGAAGTACTTTTAAAATCTACAGCTCGGAGCGCGGGATCCAGGGGCAAAAGGGGGACCGGGGGCCTGGCGAGGACGTGACCCAGCTACTGTGCACACTCTCGGACACTACTTTCCACCGCGCCCTCGGCCAAACGGGTGAATTCCATCCCGTGAGGACCCAGGCTCCTCCGAACGCCCTTTCCTGGGACACCTCCGCGGCGGCGGACAGCCGAGCGGCCGCCGCGCCGCATTTAAAGAGCCCTAAGGGGACCGGGCGGGCCCACGAGTTCTTTGTAGGGAGGGAGCGAGTCTCGGGCCACCGAGAACGTGGGGAGGGCTCCAAAGGGGCGGCGGCGGCGCGCCAGTCCCCAGCCCGCGAGCAGCCCGGTTGGCGGGAGACACATCCTCCGGCCCCCAGGACCTGAGCCCCTCCAACCCCGACCCGCCGGAGCACCCCTGCGCCCCCGCACACCCCCCCCGCACCTCCTTCCCGCCGAGCAGTTGTATAAAGCGGCTCGGAAAGTGCCCACCGAGTCCTGGGTTGCCGGAGCCCGGCCGCTTCGTCACGCGGAGACATCGCGCCACTCGGGGCCGTGCACAATAGCGAAACTCCGAGGAAGCGCTGCGCCCGACCCCACCTCCCGCCGCCTACCGCTGTTCCCCACCTCCCCGCCCCGAGGAGCGCGGGCGCCCCGGGGCTCAGCCGCGCACTCGCGCCGAAGACTCCGCAGCCCGCCCCCACGGCCCGCCGGCAGCGCGCCGCAGCCGCCGGACTCCCGCGCTCGGGTGGCCGCGCGTCGCGTGGCCCTGGCGGAGGGAGCGGAGGTGGGCTGCTGCCCCCACCCTGCCCGCGTACTGACTTGCTGCTGCTTCCTGGGTCGGCCGCGTCCTCTCTTCTGAGGCGCCGGGGCGGCAGGTTGTCCCTGGGCTGAAGTGGACGGCTGCCCGGCGCCTTCACCGCGTGCGCTCATCCTGCCTCCCGCCGCCGCAGCCGTCGCCGCTACCGCTGCCGCCGCCGCCGCTTCGCCGCCGCCGCCCCGAATGTGCCGGGCACCTTTCGGGAGATCGGGCGGTAGGGCTGGAGGATGAGGCAGGGTGGGCGAGGAGCTGGCGTGCTGCGAGGGCTGCTGCTGCTCAGGCTGCCGCCGCTGCCACCATCAACACCGGACGTCCAGCGGCTGCCAAAAAGAGAGAAGAGGGGAGGAGGAGGAGGAGAAGGAGGCGCTGCTGGTGGCGGCGGCCGCGGTGGGTGGGTGCCGGAGGTGGAGGTGGAGGTGGAGGTAGCGAGAGGAGGAGGAGAGCGAAGGAAAGGGAAAAGAGGGTTTGAAGCTGGGAGGCTCCCCTCTCGGTTTGGGATCAGAAGTTGCGGTCACCGGTAGCACTTCGGAAGCGGCTTGGAAATGGAAGAGACTTGGAGTGGATTGTGTCCCTTGAAATGTTAGGCGGGGAAAGAATTCCTCCTCCTCTTCCCCCCCCGCTCCGCGCTCGCAGAGCAAGAAAGAGAAAGAGAGAGAAAACAAATCGCGCCTTGGGCAGTCAGAAAGCAGAAGGAGGATGGGGAGATTCTGCCGGGTTCGGGTCGGGCACAGGGCGCAGGCAAAAGGACGAAGCAGTGGGTGGCACCGCGCCTCCTCGGGTGGCGGGAGCAGGCAGCAGCGGCACCGGAGAGTCGGAGGGGGACGGGCCGCTCGCTCCTGCGTCCTGCACCAAGCGCGCTCTTCCCGGGCTGGAAGTTTTCTGAGTTCCTTCCCCAGGATTCAAGTGGGAAGAGTGTGTGTGTGTGTGTGTGTGTGCTTGGGGAGGGGGCGGCGGGTTGTGGGGGGGGGAAATGCCCACCTCTAATCGTGGGCGGATAAATGGGAGGGGGCTGCGCAGGAGGAAAAGTATGAGGAGGAGGGAGGCCAGGCGGACCGCCGAGCCAAGGCGCCTGGCCGCGGGCCAGAGGCAGCGTTCGAAATACAACTGCCTCGGCGGCGGCGGCGCCCGGGTGCCACCCGAAGCCCCGCTCACGTGCTCCCGCCCGGCGGCGGGGTTAAAGGGACAGGCCGGGGATCCCGGGACAGCTCGCTGCCGGCCTTGTCCCGCCTGCCGCCCGAGGTCGCCCCTGGGCGGTTGTCCTAGTAAGGCACGGGAATGCGACCGCCCCAGAGCCGCGTTTAGGGGCTTGGCCTTTACCTGCACCTCCACGACGCGGAGCCAACACTCAGCAGGAAGCGTCTAGCTGCACGCGCGGCAGAGTTCTGGTTCTCTGTGAGTGGGAAGGAACCGAGGAGGAGCAGGAACCGGCCCCCGGCAGCCTTGCTTTGCCTGGGAATACCCTCATCACAGACTGCACGACCCTGAAGCGCGCGCACACACAGACACGCAAGCACTCAGCCCCACATATGCACACTCGTACAGGCATACACATGCACGCACATTCGCGGACACATGCACACGTGCAAACAATGTGCACTCATGCACATGGAGCGCGCCGTCCTCTTCATTGAGTTTTTTTTTTCCTCGGGGAAAGACTAGAGGCGCGACCTCGGGGCTGGCGCGACTTACCGGTGTTCTTACGCAGAGCAGAAGGGTTGCCCCACGCGGGAACCCCGTAGCTTCCTTAACACTAAAATTGCGCCAACTGTCCAACTCTCCCTGCAGTTTACCCTGATTTAACCTTTTCCCTAGGAACTCCCTTTCTGCCAAGTCCTAATTTTATTGCCTGGGCTGTTTCTGAGTTATGTGAACACTGTAATGACCACAGTCCGTTTTAAAAAGGTGGAGTACATTTAAAAATGTACCTCTTTCATCCTTGAATAATAAAAAACTCCGAAAAAATTACGTTCAGATTTTCACACATCACGCCCCAAATTATTTTGGACCAATTCCAAAATAAAAACTTTCACCCGAGGGGAAAAAAATTTTTTTTCTTCCCCAAAATACAGACCACGGTGGAATAAAAACGCCTACTTTACAGTCCTAAGGAGGGAGTTAGGCACAGCCAGGTTCCGCTGTGCTTGTGGAGGAGGCGCGTGTTACTGTCTGCTTCGGCGCGACGGCGCTGATTGGTCCGCGTTGCCATTTTAAATCCATTTTCAGCCGCCCTTTGCAGAGCTGGGACACTTAGCTGCACGTTGAGTGCCCTGCAGAAACCCGGGGTTTCTCCTGGGTCTGGGAACGCTTAGCTGTGATGCAGAGGGAGAGCCTCCTTCCCTCCGGATGGAGCCCAGCGGTTGCCTGCGGAGGGAGGGGTCTAACAGGAACCAAAGGTTTTCTGCCGGGGCTTGGCTGAAAGATGTTATCTTCATCAAAGGGATTGAAATTTCACGTACTAAGGATTGCAGTGACATTTCCTAACTGCCAAGTTTGCACATTTTTAATGTGATCACATTCGCACTGTGGTGTGCACATTTGACTTACACATACAAAAAGGGCTTCTAGGTTTGTTTTTGTTTGCTTGCTTTTGCAAGGACTAGAGATAAAATTCTGAGGATGAATGTAGGAGAAATCACCGAGGATTTCAGCCAGCCAATTTTATCCCGGGTACGTTGTATCCTCCGATATTTCTTTCATATGCACAGAGGCTGGTAAGAAGGGGATTCCAAAATTTGATTTTTGCATTAATCCTTGACTCTAAGAAAAGCACCAAAAATTTGGGGGTGGGAGAAGGTTTTCAGCCCACCGTCACTTTGCTATCAGATTATTTGACTCCTTTGGAATTTATAGCAAGGATATAAAACAAATATTGCATCAAATTTTACTTAAACCAGTTTTATACATTTTAATTCCCAGACTACATTTAGTTTTTTCAGGTTTTTGTTTATTTTCTGTTAGGAGAGACATTAAAATTTGTTTTCATCCCTGAAGTTACTTGAGACTTTAAAAAATGGTGTCATATTCTTTTTATTAAATTAAATGGTTATATTTTAAAGAATGGATTTTTTTCCACATCCACATTTGTGGTGTTCCCCCCCTCCCCCCAGTTTAAGTTGCTCAATTGTTTACTTCTCCTTCTTTATGTCACCGTATTTTACCCATCCGTTCAAGGTTAAACTCTTATTTCTAATTTGAAACCTTCCCAAGGTGGTTTCTGTCCCCATGAAACTATTTCTTTTCTTCTGCACCTACTATCAAACTGAACAATTAGCACTTTGGTTGCATATGTTAACAAGGTTTCTAATTATCTGTGATACATGATTTAGTGTTTGGATCAGGTCAGCTCATTAGTGGGTAGTAAAAGCAATTCAGTGGACCCACCAAGACACTTAAAAAAAGGAGAGCAATAGATAATATCACAGGAAAAAGTTCTGCTTTAGTTACATAGTACATGCATGTAAAAGTTGTACTCAGATTCTTTTTTCCCACCACTTTAATATTTTGGTAATTGATATTTATCTTAAAGTTCAGGGTCTCTTGGCACTGTCTTATCACATCTTAGTCAGTATATTTCCTATTTTTGTGACATATGTAATACGGATGGCACCATAGATCAATAAAGATATGTAGTAAAGTCTCTTTCTTACCGTGGGTTGCAGTGTTACCTGTTTAAATGCCACTAACTTCAACAGTTATGAGAGCTGGATTCCTTTACAACTCCACTAAGCCAGCTGTGCCATCTTTGGTAAATCATTTCCCCTCTCTTGTAGCTCAGTGTCCTCACTGCTAAATGAAAAGTAATTTTCATTAAAATGAAAAGTAATTTTCATTTTATTTCATAATCTCTGAGGGTTCTTCCAGTTTTAACAGACTTCAAAACATGTGTGATACCTTGTCCTCTAACTGGGTTTTGTTTATATGTAAATGATATGGAGATTCTATAGAGACGAGTAGTATTTCTAACACCTCTTTTTAGCACAAGTTACGTGTAGATAGTGTTCAGTTCATAAAAGACTTTTGGTATTTACTAATTTATTGCTATGACAAAGTTACTCTGAATAAGCTACTATTTTATAAGCGTATCCCAGGATGAGACAAGCATTATATGAATTAAAATATCTTAATGATTCTTTTGACGAAAGGAAGATGCATCTGTGATGAAAAGTTTGAAGTTCGCACATGGCACTTTATCACATTATATTGATACTTTAATACAGCCATGAATTAAGGAATAATTTAAAAATTTTCTCAGATTATAATAGATTGACTTAATCGTGGATGTATTCCATATGTAATTAAACAGATTTATTATAACCAGATATTTTGAAAGTCAATCTATTGGGTATGGTCACAGAAAAAAATTAAAAATTATAATAGTCAGTGAACAGAATGCATAGTATACACACACATATACATATGTATGTATAGTATATGGAAGCTCGGTCTATAATGCAAGGTAAACATATATTTCTGAAAAATATTTCCAGTGTTTTGATGTAGACTCATTTGCTCTGCTTAAACTCACAATTTTAGAGATTGTGTCTTTTTAAGATTTTATTTATTTATTTGAGAGAGAGAGAACGAGAGAGAGAGAGAGCATGAGAAGGGGCAGGGTCAGAGGGAGAAGCAGACTCTGCCGAGCAGGGACCTGATGACGGATTCAGTCCTGGGGCTCCAGGATCATGACCTGAGCAGAAGGCTGTCGCTTAACCAACTAAGCCACCCAGGCACCCGAGATTGTGTCTTTTAAAATAAGCTTAGTGTTTAATGAAATGTAGCAAAAAGAACCTCTAAGACTTTCCCTACATTATCACCAAAAAAGAATATAGCTGCATAGTTAACATTTTGTTGGTGGGGTGGGGGGTGGGGAGGTGGACAGCTTTCTAGTCCCATAGACCAAGGATCACCAAACAAAATGAATTTGTCTACACATTCATTCAGTCACTCAACAAACATATATTAAGTTGGTTTTGCACGAATCTCACCCATTTGTCCTCTCAGGAAGGTCATTCATGTGGAGCTGGAGAAAATCTCTTTTGAAACAGCGAGGTGCTCATTTAAAGTCTATTTACCTATTATGTTAAGCTTTTCACTTACCCTTACAAATATTTAT